TTGGAGATAAAGCAATGCTCTAATGCACATGTAATGTATTAAAACACGCCACGCGTTTCGAGAAATTAATCATCAGAAAGAAATATGTGTTATATATTATGTGTTATATATGTCATCAATGTGTTCATAATGTGAAAAAAAAATTGCACGCTATTGCAATATTGTGATGAATTTCTAAACAGTGAGATATTTACTTTGAAATTACCTTGTTTTAATCTAAAGCTTCAGTTTATTTCTTTGTTTTGGTCAGTAAAGTGATTCAAAGAAATTCTGTAGCATGCATTCCATAGATACTAATCTGGCAAAGTACACAAAATACATAACTAATACAGGCGGAATCCATTTTAAACCCGTGTCGTAAAATTTACAACATTTGCTACTTTTCTTTACAAATTATATGGGCGGAGTTTGGTTCGCCCGGAGAGCCGATCTGTTAAAGGAAATTTGTATGGGGCCGTTTGACCCCCATTGTTGGCAGACTTGTTTTGGGTTGTCTAGATAGCGTGCAGCAATACGGAAGCACCTCCTGATTTTACCATTACTACACATTGTCATGCAAGTTTTGTTGATCTTTTTCCCTCTGCTCTCTAAAGCTGAAGTTGATTAAACTTCAAAATGTTAAAACGTCTTGAAGTTCATTCAGTGATTTTTATTTCAATCACTTCTTTTTTGCTTCATTCATCATAGTATGCCTTTGCCTTTTCATTTTCCTGTTATATGTTTTCAACACTCATTAAGCATTTCAGAACGTATAATTTTGTTTCAAATATAGCTCTTTCTTAACAGAGGACCAAAAGATATTAGGCATTATTGGTATTAACATATCTATTTTTGATTTTTCACAGAAATAGATAGTGCTAGTTTCTTTTACGTATCCGTATAATTTTCCACAATTTGTTGAATTTTTCATATAAAAGGATGCTGAAACATCCTTCTTTATGTCTTAGTTTTGTCAACGTTCTTTTAAGAATTTTCAATGGACCACTGTATGGATACTGCGTAAGTAAAAAATATATTTTGATTTATTGGCAATGATTGCTTCCTCTTTATACTCATTAAAAAATTAAATACTTTTCAGCTTTATTTTGACATCAATATACATGTACTTGTATCTTGTAGTGAAATGAATAATTGCAATTATTTTTAAATACTTAGACTACATGTTTTTTTTTTCAATGAAAATAATATTTTCCACCAAAAAAAAAGGCAAAAGGACATTTTGGGATATCATTATCATTAATTTAACAGAATACCCAAGTTACGTCAAACTTTGCTATGAAACAACCGTCTTAAAGTGTGAAAATATATATTTGTAAATTCACTGACAAAACTTATAATTTACATTTTATTTCCGTACTGTTATTTAAATATTGTAATGTTCTGTATCAACGAAGGGTCGAAACTTGATGCTTTCTTGGAGGTAATGTAGAAAATGAACTTCATAGTTGTTTTTCACTTCACAAAGGACCATTCTTAGTTTAATTTTGAAATAATCAAACAATGATGTTCGACGATAATACACAATAAAATCATTACGTATCTAAATTCAAATGTTTGTTTGATATTCAAATTTTATGAGAAGATTTTGTGAGTACCAATGCTTGTGTAATTCCTTAGTGAAAACGTGTAGGTTTCGATGAATTTAAAAATAAGAACGTTCACGAAGCAATTCAACTCCACCTTATATAGTATGAGACAGAAAAAGCAAGGCCAAAACTTATAGTAAAAAATGCCACAATCAGTAGGTTTTCTTCACCCAACCCAGAATCTTTCCTCAAAATTAGTAAGGTGTAATCGAGATTTAAATTATTCTATTCTTGTTCACTGAAGTGATGTCGACCCAACACTGATCGTACCGGGTTCCCCGAGATCTCGTCGTCTCGAGATTTTGATCAACTCGACGTATAAAAAAACTTATGTCTTATTTCAACGTTTAATTGTTTCGTCGCTTCGTTTCTTTTATGCAGCTGACAATGGACAATGATTAATTTTGTAAACGGTATTGAGGCATCAAGATGCTTGAAACATTAGGTAAACTAATACCCTCTGCTGAATGGAAGTTCGAAATAATTTGTTTCTGAATAAATATATTTTTTGAAAACTGCAGTCAAGGCACATTGTGAATAAAGAATTTAAAGGTACTGAAAAATGTTGATGTAAAATGATCCTGGAGTGTTGAGCCCTGCAAGAGTGTTTCGAAAAAAAATTTCCTTATGCAATCTTTAAAGATGTGTTGTGTCTTTTCGTACGACAAATTTGCAATGTTTGGTCTCTACATTCAAACTTTGATTTGGATTTTTAAAAACAACTCTGAATTGATGAATATATAATTCATGAATGTACTGTATCCACCATTTGTCCTTGAAGTATTAAAAAAATGGTAATACAATTTTTATTAAGAGTGATTTTTTTTTTGCTATAAGAAACAGTAGAAGTGTTTGCTGGCCCTGTGTGTCATTTTTTTAATAACTAAGATGTGGCCTCTAAGTAGGTGGTCCCCAGAACTCTCACCTTGAAAGTGTGTGGTACATCTGACACATTGAGAGAATATATAAGCACCTGTAATTACCATTTATCAACAGGTGCTTTCTGTAAATGTTAAACTAGATAAGATTTTAAACAAAAAAGACTAGTCAATATATTCTGGACAAAAACGACTACATACAATGAACACAATACATTTTGTTTAGGATTAAGAAAATATATCAATTTGAAATTTGCCTTTTCCTTCGAAACCTTTAAAGACATTATAGATGAATAAAGCATAATACATATCTATGTGTAGAGATTTAGTATAAGATTATAAATTTGTTATATTGTTATTTTTAAAAATGGAATGTGAAGATAACCAAATGTAATCATGCTCAAATGTCCAATTAAACAATACAAATTGAGAGCAGAGCAAACATAACCCCCTTAAAGCATCAGAGGTGCAGTCAGGTGCCATGGAGGTGTAAGTATCCCCCGTCAACCTGTCACAACCCCCGTAGGCCCCATGTCATGATCGGATAAACAGAGAAATCCGAAGACAATTCATCATGAAAATAAGAAAAATGTTTTGGAAAATAAAATCAGAGATTTCAGCATGGTTCTCTTTTAGTCCAATTTAGAAAAGATATTCCAAACTTTGATAGGACATTGCATTGGAGTATCCTTCAAAGAAGCAAAGACTACAATGTAATTCCTGTGCTTAAGATTATTTTCGTTTTTGTTTAACCGATATTCTTGAGGGGTGGGTTACGTTGCAGAAAGGTTAGTAAAATTACAGATCATTTTAGAGTCTGCCTTTCAATTTGTGGGGTCATTCTAATGACATTTATTCCTCTTTGAGACACTTCCAGTTCATTAAGCAATGACAGTCTTCATAAATTATATACCTCCAAAAAAGCTACCTACATCAATTTTAGTGCATACTTCTCTTAGATCTGACATTTACATAATTGATGCATTGTTTTGCAGCGTTGCCTTTTAACAACTCGAATGCTAAAAGCCTTCACTATATGTCAAAAGCCAGAATAAATATTTACTGTGTATTAAAAGATTTTTATCTCAAATCATAGACTTTTGCAAAACAGTTCTTGTTTTTAAAGATTGATTCTATCTTGCAGAAACCTAGATGAATCAAAGATCTCGCATATTCACTTTTTCAATATCTTGAATGTCTTTTCTACACAACCACGCATTCCTCTGCGATTACTTCAGCAGATGTAGTTCTTAACAACTTTTTTAGTCGATGGCATTGAAAGCCCGAAACTCAGGCCAGATATAATTGTTTGAAGTTATTTCATAATTACTGTTCTTTATGCTGTCTCTTTCAAATCTACCTCAATTATAAGATCCTGGGGATCGGATAAGGAACCGTGTCAATGCTATCTCTTTGGAAAAGGACAATTTACAACACATCGCTAAGGGACTTAGCACTTTTACATGGGTGCATTGCAAAGCAGGTCTTTACAATTCTATGAACTGCAGTTGGACTGATTAAAGATCTTTTAACTTGGTTCATATATTTATCAATAAATGTGTGAATATGTTCAAATGTCACTAATAATAATATCAGTTTCCCCAATTTTCAATGAATATTAATGTTTTCCTGTTCCTATACAAAGGTTTCATTGATTTACATACTGTATTTCAACTTGTTTGATTGAAAGTTTTTCTCTTTTGTGACTGATTTCAACTTAGCACCGGATTTCAAAGACAGAACACAATTCAAATATATCAGGTAAAAGAGAGAGAATTTTTTTTTTTTTGGGGGGGGGGGGTCATATTCATGAAATTGTAACAACTGACCTTTTTATAAGCAAGTTACGAAAACATAAAGATATGTTTATATAAGAAAACTTGGGATTCAATGTTGAGTCCTCTGAAACAAAAGCAAAATTGTCTTTATGTCTTCAAATGCTCGGCAGGCTCACCGCAGCTAGTTTTTGCTTATTTTTGTAAAGATTAACTCAAACACATTCACAGAGATGAATAATGTCATTTATTTAAATGACGGTAAAAAAGAAAATACTTTACACAAAATAAGGGGGATCAGACTCACAAGCTCAGATTGAAAGTTACGTAAAATATAAAATAATGTCTGATCCCCCAAAAAATGACTAGAAAAATTTCCTATAAAACAATAAGATCAAAACTGTTAAGAAAAATATATCAAAAAGATGGCACCTCCAAACAAAATGGGCCTGATAAGTACAATAATCCACATGATATATTTATAAAATTACGAGGGGGAGGATTGCAGGGGCGGTGGTGGGTCTTCGAAATATAAGTGTTTCAAAATCTACTGTGGTCAGCGTGCGGGTATCAAAATACAACTGATCCGCTCAGCTGACCACGTGACCCTAGCTCGTTAATTATTGGCTGGAAATTTCGCAGTCCACCGTCGTGAATCCCCAGCATGCTATATCTATTACATAAACCATTACACACATGTAAACAGTAAATACAACGCATTTAATACATAAATTCAATTATAATCATAATTGCTGTTTCAGTCTGGAAATGGAAAACCCCATATGTGCACTGCCAAACCAAAATATCCAAAGGAGTGCCTAAAAGGACTAGGACTTCCTTTCCTAAAGGTTGTTCCGTAATTGATACCCTCAAAGTTATGTCTGGTGACTTAAATGTTGCCTTTTCTATAGGGTTGACTTACCTTGGGTCTACCAAATGAACATGTCAAACCATGTAATGGTTATTGGCAGATGTCAATTTTATGTGAATTTTGAATGAACTTTAAATGACACAAAAATAGGGGACCTACAACTTTACGGTTGCTTATTGTTTTGAATTCTTGCTACATTTCATGATCATGTTTCACTTGTTTGAAACACCCTAAATATAATGTCAACGAAGTCAATGATTTTCAACAAATATTCGAGTTAATTAAAATGGTTAGTGGTGAAGGGGAAATTTGAGTAAGTTTGTGGGGAAAAAGTATTTTAATTTTTCGAGATCAGGTTTTGAAAAGGGTAATTCTGACAAACAAATTTTTTTTATCAATTTTCATATTTGTAAACTACACATGTACTATAACTATTGAATAGAACAATATGGTTTTCACTTCCAGAGTTTAAAAGAGCATTTGCATTGCTTGAGGGTTCTTGAATATTACTATGAAATTCAAGATGTGTACTTTAGTGATAGCTTGATCAGATATGTCGTTGAAAGAGGAGGTTCCTATACACATAATGGCTAACAACCGCTGGTCATCTTTTGTTTAGGCCTAAAAGATTTAATGTCTGGACAATTTTGCTCAATGATATGCATTACTGTATTCAATGAACCGCTTTTGTCCGATCGATTTTAGGCAGCAAAGTTTATAACAGTATAGTATCAATTTTCATTTTACACTCCTGTACTTTAATAGAACGCCTCTTTCTTGCCCATCAAACATATAAAAGCAAGTTTATATCTTTTAAATTCGTATGTTTGAGCGAAAATTTGGGGGCGAGCAGATTTACTGGCCTAAAAAAATCATCGACCAGGACATTTTATTTGAGAGGTCATCTACAAGCGGATGTCTAACAACATAGCTATAAAACTTTAATTATAGCTTACTTCCAGTCTTTTTCTAGACAGACTGCTGCTTGCACTAAATGAACTGATTTGCTTGATTTTATGGGCAATTGTTAATTAGACAGAGGGGTTCCGAGTAAGGGGTTTTAGAGTATGACCACAATATTTTATGAATTTGATTATAGGGAAATGAATTGAAACTTCAACTGTTCATTTTGCCCTGATGTGTTTCCGGATCAAATATTCAATCCCAAACAACATCTTAATTTTTTATATCTTTAAGGTCCGTGATTCTGGGATTGTTAACATTTATACAAGAATTTTTTTTTTTTTCAGCGAGGGAATACTTGCACATTCTGTATGATTAGTAGGTAATTTGATGGGGAAAATGTAATGGTTGAAAATCTTTAGAAAACATTATTTTGAATTTCAACAATTACAAGTAACTTTCATAAAATGTGTATAATGAAGTCGAAATTTTCTCAATGCTCTTGAAAGAAATGTATATGGTATTAGAAATACTTGTTAAAAATGCCTTCCCTTATGAATTACAGAATTGATAGCAACACCAGAAGGTGTGAAATATATATGAATATTTATAACCATCATACATCGCCGAAGATGAGCAAGCTCATTTTCTGGTCATAAAGCCATCAATTTGGATAGGAAATGACCTGTCTGGAATATCAACATTCTTCACGCACTGGTCAGTTTTCTAGTTTCTTTCTGAAACGTTTATGTGGAAATCTCATTGCCTTATCGACAAAATATCCGAAACAAACTTTCACATCACCTTAAAAAGCAGAACAATCAATGTATTTTTTTTTTACGCCTTTGTATATTTTCAAACTTTTGAACTTTGAGTCTATGACAATTTCTACATTCATACCAAAACATTGATAGGATTTTAAATAAAAAATAATACATGCATAGAACATTTTAACTCTTGTCGAACAAACTGAATTTCACAGACTTTTTGGAGATATGTTGGTGTACTGAATTTATTAATCAATTTATTTATTAATTCTTTTATGTTTTAGTGATTAAACAGCTTTAAATCAAACATTCCTGATATTAAATATTTTGAGCAGAACTTTTTGTAGGTCATCCTGACAAAATTTACAAAAAAAATATCAGAATAACCTTTTTTGACGAGTTTCAAATAGAGAAAAACAAAACATGAAAAACGAACAATCAGACATAATAACCTAATCAAATTGTTTCTTTATGATGCATCAATGCGAAATATTTTTTCGGGGGATGTTGTAGATGGCTGCCGATAGAAGCCCGGGGGCAATTTGACAGTTCCCTAATGCAATATTCCACATCTGGTTCTTCTGCTAGAAGGAGAATTATTTGATGAACTTGCTCATAGAAATAACTGTTGTTTTGCCCTTATAAGTGAATTATTCCGTTAATGTTTCTAAATATTTCGAGTTATTGTTTCGAGTAAATTTTGACGTAATTTGATACAATCTTGTAATTGTCAATATCAAGGGATTATAATGACTTTGCTTCTGTTCTGTTACTGTAATCATTTAGCAAGTTTGATTTGATTAACAAAGAAAAACGACTACCCCGAAGGTAACTTGTGAATGACTAGAGAATATAACAAATCTATGTTTTGTTTCAATGATATGAGCGTCGCTACAATAAAGGAATTTTTTTACACTATTTTATTGCTTCTGAAATTTATCTTTTGTTATATCATAAAAAATACATCAAGATATCTGAAAAATTATTATCATAGATAACCTAGAAAAATGTGAAACTAGATTTTTGCTTGTATTGGTGAATAGCCTCAAATTCAGTTGAATTTAATCTTTCAAAACAGGAAACAGAAAAAATACCTTTGTACTTCAATGAATGGAATGACTGCAAGAAATGAAAGAACTTTAAAGCAAATATGATTTTTATTGAATATGCTATTGTGTATTTTCCTTTAATGACACTCTTTTTAAACTTGCTATGCTTGTTCATGTTCACATCCATATCATATATTTCTATTCATATATGGCTTTATCGGTGGATTGGGCAGAATCCAGAGACATCATTTCTAGAGTTTAAAGACAACATTCCTAAATTATGCCTATTAAATGGTTCCTCGCAGTAACAGATGCATCAAAAAGTCAAAGACGACACCAAGCAAAATATGAAATTTACACAGCGAAGAAGCCATTCCATCTCCACCAACACAGTCAGGGAATAATGAACGTTTAATTGGGTCTCTGTAGGAGTCCTATTGTCAATAGAACTTAGAAGACTCAAGGGAGCTAATCCCTGTCAGAAAGTTTAACTAGCAGCGTAAAGGGCAACATGAATGATTGTCCTGCCTTAATGAGCCCTTGCATCATTTGATGGCAATGTTGTGTGTGCATTTCATTAAGAAGGAGTAATGTGTAAATACTCACAAGTTTTTGAAAGATGATTTATTTGCTTCGGTCCTATGATGACAATACATTTTAACAGGGTGATAATGTTTTACTATTACCAAATGTTATTTGGAATAGTTTTCAAACCACATGATAAGGATGTCAAACAATATCTACGAGATATTACAACATACAATTATTAACTATTGTATAGTTATTTATCTGTCCATAAAATCATACAGTTTATACTTATTCCTTTTTTTACAATATTTCTAGAAAATGGACATGAATAGTCCGTAAATATATAATATCTGACATAATTGTGCATATCTTGCAATTTGGTGCTGAACCTCTACATTTGTGTGATTTAGTCTTTATTAAAATGTATTCTTTGATCATCGTTTATCAGGCACAATAGATTCAAAATACAATTTTCACAGGGTCATTGTATAATAGTTTTCATGTTTTGAACTTGTAGACAAAAGACACCGGCCAAAGACCCTCCTAAAAGCAATCCCAGCAAAAGACATAGGGAGAGGCTAAATTCAGAACTTGACCACCTTGCTAGTCTGCTGCCATTTGAACAATCTGTAATATCCAAATTAGACAAACTTTCAATTCTTCGTCTGGCAGTCAGTTATCTAAGAACAAAGAGCTACTTCGCAGGTAAGTTTTCACCAATGATGAAGAAAAAAACTCATACTGTATTAATGATTTAGACAACACCTGTGCAATTTCATACTTTACATTAATTAATTGGAAACATACAGATGAAATAGAAGCTAAAATATCTAAATATAAAGTGCATCATAATGTTAAGTATTTAATTACCCAACGTAATCATAATTACATCCTGTAAAAGGAAATTGCTTGTCTAAGCCAGTTTTGAAAGTAACCTTTCCTGTACATACATGTATCATAAGGATATTAACTTCATTTTTGAAGAATGTTTATTCCAAATATAAGTTTCATTTTAGTGATTTTTTTTTATTAATTCTAGTTTCATCAATATTCTACTCTGCATTGTAGCAAACAAAACCTTCAAAGACATTTTGGCAAGACGAATAAATTCAAAATTATTCAATGATTTGTGAAATCAGATAACAAATTATCACTGATATCCGAATTTGCTATTGATCAGTTCTATGAAGCAAACAAATAAAAAGATTGAAAAGAAAAAAAATATTCATCAATAATCCATGCAAATCAGTTAGAATACAATCTACCCATTTTCCCGTTGATTAAATTGTAGCCGGGTACTATAAGTTTGTGCAGATTAGCGAAAGATATTGGATCAGACAAGGGACAGATGGGGAATCTCCTTGCGTTGCTTCTCAATGCAGTTCCTTACCTGGTTGTTTCTTTTCTCTACCTGAGCAGATTGCAAATATTCTTTAATTGTTGGGGCTTTACCGCGAGTTTGTCCCACACAGATGTTGAAAATGAGAAAATTGTCGACAGGCATAGTTAGTATGAAAATTATACGAATTACGGGTGCCATTTTCTCTTAGCCTGGTATAGGGTGAAATTTATGAAGGATAATTATGCCCCATCTTCTTTCTCAATGTCGTCATTTCTATGTTTTATTTTCATATGGGTATACTATTTGAAGATAAGGAGATTATCTAATTTCTATAGTATGGGTCACTTGATACTAGGATATGTTGTCTTTAGGACACGTGTGAAGATGAATTTGTAGAAATTGTTACTGTATAGCACCTCCAATTTGATTATTAAATAGGGGTCTTGTGTATAAAACACATCAATTACTTAGGGATGTTTAGATAATGTGAATATGCCAATGGTAAGATCCAGGGTGTTGCAATCCCTTTTGATGGATGTTTTAAACTTTTTTGTTCAGAAATAATATCCTAGACACGTTGATTCTTTTATGCATATTTAGTTAAGTTTAGTTTATATTTAATGCAAAATAAACTTTGCTTTGCAAAATAATACAGTTTGTCATGTCTCTTGATTTATGAGTTCAAACTGAAACATAGTTCAGGTTTAGTAAAAAGATAAAGATTTAGAAAGGGGTATTCCTTATATAAAAGAATATGTGCTATGTCAGCCGATGGCTTGTTGTAGTAGATAATATTTCATGATACAACATTTTAAAGTGGAAGAAAAGGAAAGTACATATTACGTTTTTATAGCCAGATGACTTGTGAAATATCAAGTGAAAAGTGATATTTTAAATACTGTAAACTACTTTATTCCGCGGGGTCATAATTTCGCGGAATCACAAATGTGATGTCAATCTGCGGATAGAAATTCATGCGGATTTCTTGAGTTGTATGTCTTTATTGCACTTTAAGTACATTGTGACAAATTTCCTCGGAAATTCTGTGACCGAGTTCATCGCGTAAATGGATCCCACGATGAAAAAAGAACGTCTACAGTAATTTCGGAAAAATTTTCTTCATAGGAAGTTGTTTTATTTTTTATGTTTTACCTCCTTTGCTAAAACTTTTCACTCATACGAGGCAGGGAAGTGAATATTTAAACGGGGATTATATGCTATGCTGTGCAATTGTCATTTTTAGCACATATGTATACTATATTATATTTATATTATATATACTATATGTATACCATATTTCTGAAGATTAAGCACCAATACTTACCCATTTATGTTACGTAAGAACAATTCAGCAATGCTCACATATAGCCGATATTGCTGCAATAATCTGAGTATTTAGGTTATCGTACCATAAAAACTCAATTGGCACCCAAATTGATTGATATCGAATCTAGATATTCTGCAATTATCGTAATAACTCATACCTTAAACAAGCGCATTACATTCATTATTCATATTGTCACTTCGTTTGGCCAACTACACGCTGTAACTTCCGATTTTTGCTACCTATTCATTAATGGATTGTGTTCCTTATTATATGCAGTGTCTCATGCTTTGTTCCTAATGGTCGGCCTCCATGTGATTTATAGAACAATTATTTTCAATGGCTACTCGGAGGATATTTTAACGTCGAGCCATCTTCCATTTTGGGTTCTTTCTTTCTCTGTTCACTGTTAGAGTTTCTTTTTTATTCTTATTTGTGTATGTCTTAAATTTTCATTTTGGAGATATGCAGTAAGAGTATGATCTCAGTCTCTTATAAAGAATCAATAACGTGATCAATCTATTAACCTTCTAATGTCTATGGTATATTTTGACGATGATATCAGTTTGCCTTTCTTCTTAAGTATAGAACATATCTTTTGTCTTTTTTGGCCATATAAAGTTTTTTTAAAAAAAATGACAAAAAATTAAAAAAAAAAAAAAACAAAAAACCTGGCATTTTACGTGCAAAATTTTAGTATTTTTGGTTGTTTGCTAATGTCTTTAAAGAGAACTCATGAACATGAACGTTTAAAAAGAATTCTCTTTCCCTTTATGGTATTGCAGTGAGTACATTTCTTCTAGTACTCTATTTAAAACCCTTCCAAGTATATTCCTTTTAGAAACTGCAATAAAAATCGAACATATATCTGGCAAGATACTTAACGTTTGATAGCAAATGGGCAGTATGTTTTTAAAACGGCTAAAATAAACGATACAAATACCTTATGATATTTTCTAGATGAATCTATTTTGTTTTTAGCTAAAAGCATGTTACATTATATCTATAATAAAACCCCAATCAATAAGTCACTTTTCCATCAATTTTCCACTTTCGAAACTACTCAAGAAGCATTTTCTTATGTCTAATAAAGCTCGCAAAACTTAAACGCAGCAAGAAAATGACATCCGAAGAAATTTACGACGCATCTGAGGTGTAATTGACCATATTTTCTTGCAACAGACATTAAAATCAACTAAGTATCTATTTCAGCGTACTTCTTAGAGCGCATTTTGAAGAACACTAATTACTTCCTATTTTCCCATAATGCACTGGAGACATGCTATTATGGAGAAAGGCAGAGCCCACGTTTTATGGGGGGATAGTAGCGATGAAATATTATTTATACAGGCATTTTTGGGACAACTCATTTCCTTAAGGAAACTGAATGGGCGCTGTATGAAAGGACGGCGTACGTTCCAATAATTACATTTACTACAAAGACAAATTTTTAGGATGAAAATTGCAAGGATTTTCAGAAGAAATGAAACCTTTGCCTGTCAAACATTACATTGGAATGTTTTGAATACTAATTTATAACTTGCTTTTTGAGGAAGTCTTTTGTCAATAAATTTGAAGGATGATGGCTGCAAATTATAGTGGTTTCTTTTTTATTTTGACAGTTGAAGATGCAGGGTTCTATTTGTAAGACTCAAATCGATAAATTTGATGGTTTATACGTGATTTTTATTTTTTGTATAGTTTTTCTTTGTTATTTTCTGGCTTCCTTTCCATTTTCCCTATTCTTGATATTTTTAATTCTTAAAACAAATCCTTTCACAAAGCAAAAAAAAAAAAAAAAAAAAAAAAAAAAAAAGGAATTTTTATGACCCATAAATATTTTCAGAAATTCAGCATTTCTTCCCCCGTTTTGCAGTAATATAAGGACATGTTTAGTTTATACTATCGTGATATAAATATCATTTCACTTATTATGACTCATGGCTTCATCTGGAAATGACCTCTTAGTTATATATATGATATGATTTTTTTTAAACATAAAAGCACGGTATTTAAAGTTTTCTTTTAAAAACTCCAACAGTTTAGAAATAAAATAATCTCCTTTGTAAAAAGAAACTGAAAAAAGCTTAGAATTAAGTTTCCATTCATTGGTTGGTGCGAAAAGTTGGATCCATACAAATGACACACCAAATTGGCAAGTATTAAGGTCAGTCTCTAAGGAACATTGCGGGGTACAAAGGTGTTAGATAATGGTTCAATTTCTGTCACCTGATACTACTTGATGGGATTAATTAAACTTGTGCTAGACTTGATGTCAGCTAAAAGCTATGTACCTGAAAATATTTGGATTCGTTGCATCACCCGATAGCCTTGTTACAAACTGTTTTCTAAACTTGATCTTCAACTTTTATTTCAAGAAACGATGAGCTCAATCTCTTGCTTTATTTCCACATGATTCTATTTAAAAATCATAGACAAAATATATTATCCAGAAATCGTGAATGTAGAAACAATGTTTTTTTATTTGGTTTTTCCTTGTTCACATCGGAAATGCCCAAAAGAAGAAAAATAGGCTGTTTATAGACAGTGCTCCGAAAAACATATGACCAAGAAGCACTTTTAAGAATAATGAACTAAATGTGTTATCAATTTTATGAGAAGAAAACTTATACTGTGTCATCCCTTATTTTCACCTTGTATTTTCAATCGTGTATCCATCGTATGATCTGTTAATACTTCAACTCATTTGTGTATTAGTCCTCTACTTATTCCATTCTGGAACATTTCAAACTTCTTTAATATAATATTTAAAAGCCACCCCCAGGAAATGTATATTGTGCCACATATTCGTATGTTTTCATAGGCTCACATACATTTGTGTTTAATTGATTTGTTGATTAATGTCTGATCTTTACTGAACATTAAATATATTTGAGAATAGTTGTAAATATGAAGTCCATTTTACCTGAACAAATCGATTATTAAATCAGATTTGCTAATTTTGACTATCGAGTGCCACTACTGGAAAAAAAATAGGAAAAAATTCAAAGTTTCTATCATTATTCTCTTGTCAGCCAT